TCAGAGCTGCCTCTTCAATGCACACTCAAAAGAGAAGTCAGTATGCAGAGCAGGAATACCCAGGTTCAGGCCATTCAGACTCCAATATTGGAGAATTTATGGTCTAGAGACACTGTCATATACACAACTGACCATGATGTTATTAAAGAGGTGAAAGTGAGTTGAGTCTGAAAAGTAATAATAGGATTCAAAATATAATAATAAATATTAAGAAAACACTAATTTTTTTGAAAAACCTTACTGTTTTTCCTGCTTTAAGACCTTAAGATTATTTTTTTTTCTGACATATAGAAAATGATAATATGATTTAAGACCTTGAGACTATTTTTTTTTTTCTTTTGAGTATAAAAAATAACAATAGGATTCAAAATATGATAACAAATATTAAAAAACACTAACTTTTTTTTAAAATCTTGTTGTTTTTCCTTACTTTAAGATCTTTAGACTGCTCTTTCTTTAGAATGTAAAAGATGACAATAGAATTTAAAATATAATAATAAAAAGTTTGTCTAACCTGTACCTTAAGAGTACAAATTAAAAACCTTGAAAAAATAAAAAGTAACATTTAATTTATCAATCGTCTAATTAAATGTATCCATGTAGCAATGAGATTAAAATTAATATCCACTTTAATAATTTTTTATTATAAAAGAGTGCATTTAAGACCTCGAGATTGCTTTTTCTTTGAAGTGCAGAAAATGACGATAAGACTAGTCCATGAGAAAAAAAATGATTAAATTTTCCTTTCACATTTAACATATAATAAAGGAACTTCTTAAAAATTGAAGAAAATGTGATAGATTTTAGAACAGAGAAAGACAAAATTATTAAGTAGAAAGAGAAAACTGACAATTTATATGAGTATAAAGAATGCTACAAGAAAGAAACACAACATGCGACAGTTCATCAAAGACCTTGGTAATAAGCCGTCCATTTGATTTCCATGTAAGTTGAGATTTCGTAATCCATAGCCCTCTGGAAACCCAAATGGTATATTTCCATCAAAGTTATTGCCTTGCAAATTCAACGCTGAGAGAGACTTAGGAAGACAATTTGGAATCTTTTCGCTTAAATTGTTATGAGAGAGGTCAAGAATCATGAGATCCTTTTCACATATTCATTTAGGAATATTGCCATGAATGCTATTTTTGGATAGCACTAGGGTTCCCAGACCATTTGAATGTCTTAAGAAATTGGGGAATTCACTCAAGTTACAAGAAGAAAAAGAAACATCAGTTAGTTTGGGTAATGTCAAGTTGGCATTGACATTCATTCTCTTTGTTGGAATTGATTTATTTGACCTTGAAATTGGTTATGATTGAGATACAAGCTCTCTAAAAAAGGTAGGGTGAAAATCCAAGGTGGCAACATG